CTTTAACCCTTTCTCTATCTCTTCTTCACTCAATGCTTCATTTCCTTTTTGTACAAAATCTTGACGAAATCTTTTGATGCAATTACTTTTAATTATATTCTCATATGAATTAAATTCTGTGTCATAGAACAAGCGTGTTTCGATATATATATATATTTCGAATAACATACACGGTCTGTCTAAAAAGAAACCGAACTTTTGCTATTAAAAGAAAAAAGTACAAGTAAAGTTTTTACACGCACGTTTATTTACTCAAAATATTCTCCCTCTGCGTCAATACAGCTTGCGTAATTAACATTTCCAAGGACCTTTGCAGCTCCTGTTTTGGTAGCCTGTTTAGTACGGCGGTTACAGCGGCCTGAATCTCCGAAATGTTGCTATAATGTGTCCCTTTCATTGGAATTTTCAATTTTGTAAAAAGAAAATAATCGCAGGGAGACAGATTAGGCGAGTAGGGTGAACGATCCGAGGTAACAATGCCAATTCCAATGAAAGGGACACATTATAGCAATATTTCAGAGATTCAGACCGCTGCACAGTGCGTCGATTAATGGACAAAAATCGAAAAATGATGATTTTGCTAGAGCACAATCTAGCATTTTATTTTGTTACCTAGATGTCAATAGCTTGAAATTGTTTGTGGCTGCTAAGGAACCGCACTTATTTATAGGTATATGGCTACCTAATTGTAGCATATTACTCTACGTTCAGTTTCAGTTCGAAGTTTACGATAGTACAATTTACTTCTTTTTTTTTCACTTAATCTGTAGTAATATTCATTCTTCATAGCTCATTTTCTCTGTCATGGATTCCACTATTATGGGTATGTTTATTTCATAACTGTTGCCTATATTAATAGTTTACTGATTAATAAAAAATTCTTATGCGCAAGATTCGAAATTAAATTTTAAAATAGACTTACAAAAAAAAACGTAAAAAAATGTATCAGTGATTCTTTTATATTTGATTCCTCTAACTTTATATTTCATGCAAACAATGTCCACTTTTACTACTACCTGCTAATATTTGAGAAATAAATTTGTTTAGAACGAGTCGTTAAAATCAAGAATATTGAAATTGCTGAAAAGTGGATCTCGATAGAGCAATGTAACAAAGTTAGCGGTATAAATATTGATAACAACCATTATAAATGACATAATAATTAATATAAGAAAGTTATAATTAAAAACTATTAGAAACATATATTCGTTGTCTGTTATACTCTTAAATAATAGTTATAAAATATAGTTTACTTTAAATCTATTATTCGTTTATTTTACATGTCGATATAAAATGATTATTGATGAGCTATTAAACAGCCACGTATAGTTTCATTCTTTTGGTTACCAGAATTAATAAAAAAATGTCATATTTAAATGTCATATATGTAAACATTTTAATGAAAATATTTTAACCACAAATGTTTATCTAAATCCATTTTCTATGTTACCAAGCACAAACAAGTAAAAAAAAAAAAAATAGAAATATTATGTTTGTCCACGTTTGCCTATCATTCGCCGCACTGTGCGCTGTAACTGCCGTACTAAACGGGCTACCAAAACAGGAGCTAGCAAAGGTCCTTCGAAATGTTAATTTACGTGGTCTACACGCTGTATTGACGCAGAGGGAGATTATTTTGAGTAAATAAACGTGTGTGTCAAAATTTCACTTGTACTTTTTTTCTTTTTATAGCCAAAGTTCGGTTTTTCTTTTTTTTTTAGACAGGCCGTGTATCTTCGTATTCATTCAACCTTCGCAAAAACCAATTAATTCTGCCTGCCTCATACATGAACTGCATTACAAGAAACTTAGAATTACTCGAAACCAGATTAATTCCTCCCGCGTTACCACGTGCCAAAGGTACCGCGTTGTAGACGAATTTACGCGCTTTTAGTGTGTACCGATAAACACGCGAGGAAATATGACGCGTACATATACATATACGTCTTTCGCAGTCAAAAGGATAAGCAGGAATTGAATGACGTTTGATGCACTTTGAGGGTTCTAAGGAGGGGGCAAAGAAGAAGATGGAAGGGGGTAATGCATGTAAAAAGAAGAGAGGGGAAGGTAAGAGGAAAACAGAGTGAGCAGGCTCGAACGAAAACAGAAGAGGGGGCGGTGTGGGCGCGTTCGTGTGAAGAGAGGGAACAGGAGAGGACAGTCGTGAGTTCACGAAGAAGCACGAAGTTACGGAGTGGCAGTGGAAGCTTGAGGCGAACACGCCGCCGGTTCTCTCACTTGTTGAGTGTCGAGCGACGAACCGAGTCCTACCGTTCGTTCACGGCGACCGGTAGAGACATTACGGTCGCGTGTTTCGCCGTGCACCGTCGACACGATTGGCACGATTTCGAACGTGCACGTGAACGCGAACGCGGTGCGCATGCGCGGATTTGGTTCGCGCCGGGGAAGTAGCGTGCGCCGCGGCAGTGCGATCAATCGATCCATCGATCCAACCGCGATCAGTGGCCTACGGTTGTTACGAAGAAAACGTGAATTGTGCCGGTGCACCGGGATTCTCTCGTCGCAAAGTCGCGTGCCTTATCATTATTGTTCAGGTGCACGGTGGCCAAAAGTTCCTGGAACAGCGTACGGCATCTATTTTCGAGTGCTCGAGTCACGGTAAATTCGCGCCGGCCGACTGTCCACCGCAACGATCATTCCGTCGTATGTATTTGTCGTGTAATCGAACCGCGCGCGATCGACACGGATCCGAACGTCGGGAAAATGTTCGATCGAACGGAACGTTGACTCGTCGCTGAATCGATGGAAGAAACATTGTTACAGTTCTCAGAGACGGACCGTCTTATTTCCGTAGCCGATTGGGACGACCGGACTGGTCGATACGTTGCCGCTGTCAGAAACAAGCCCCGTCGCAGTTGCCACCGGCTATTGTTGTTGTCACGATTGTCCTACTCGCGCGTTGCATAAGCATCGTCAGTGGTGATTACGTAAGACCGAATTCCTTCGGAAGGAACAGTCGTTAAATCGGACAGAAAACGTGGTATATTGCGTGGATGACGATCGCAACGGAAACGTGTGCTTCTTCCGCGAGAACGTCTTCTATCGTCGATAGATCATTCTTGCAATCGATTACGATCTCGTATAGGTTCAATTTGTATAGTAGTATCGGTCTAATCTACTCGAAAATGCGGAGTAAGTGTGAAAATTAATGGAACAAAGATTTCGAGAGTGTGCAGTCGATTGTTTGGTTTGTAATCATAGGGGAATGATTTTTTAGTGATATTTGTGCAGTTTTATTCGCGTTCGAGCCTTTGATCCCGCGTCGCGATAACAAACCTGCCGCCTGTCAGCCGGTTTAAATTTCCCGCGCGCAGTGCACGTGTTGTGATCAACGACGATGGCGATGAAGAGCCGGAAGCAGTATAGCGGCCCCAGTTTCGGATCAAAGAGTCATTATCCTGCAATCAGTCAGGCTTACTGGGCGCCGCAGCCGCAGAATGTACCTTATTCCATCCCAGGTAACACTTGCGATTAAAATATTTATGATCATTGAGATTATTTTAAAGATTACCGTCCGTGAATTTTCAAGGAATGTTAGCAATGTTTGTTCATGCGAAAGAAACAATTGTTTAGTCATTCTGTCAATTATAATTGCACGTTTAGTGAATTTATAAATGATAAATTGTCGATGAGACCAATATGAAGTATTAAATATGGTCGACTCGAAGAATATATTTACACTAAATACAAAAAAAAAAAACGAGTTCGTGATTATTTATTGCATTTTTAATACGAAATGTATCGATAAGTTTTTACTGCTTGACGATAAAAATTATCTGAAAGCGCGAGTAATAATATGTTTATTGGTAAAGACAGAAATAAAAAATTTTGAGGAAGAGATTATTTTATTTGGCATAAAGAAACATCGTCATTTTAAGACTTTGAAGGTAACAGAACCCAGTATATATATTTATAAGAAACATATTCCTCTAATCAAATTAAATTCATTTAAACAAATATATTCCGAGGTATAAATGAAGAGAGCTTTTAATGTTTAATACGTACCTTGCAAAATTCCCATTAATGGAACACGTACCACATTTAAATATCTTTAAATAAACTCCAAATGGACGTCGCTCCATTTATAAATGACTATGGTTCGAGTGGATCAGAAAACGTAATTAACTCTAGAAATCGAAGTTACTAATTTACAGAATACTTATACGATCGACGCGAAACTAGCCTTCGGTATTGTTTAAATACGCGTTTTCATTCGGAAAACGGATATAATCGTTACGGTACAATACGGAACCTTGATTAACATTATGCGAAAAATAAAAGTCACGTCAGTTCATTAATGGCTGGGTATGTTATTTGCGTAGCATTACCTTTAACTTGCGAAGGTTAAACGAGTAATTTAGCATGTAAATCGGTCGTGAGACCGTTAAACAAACCAAGACGTTGGATTGTAATATTCTTGGATCCGAAAGATCTATTATTAATCCATTATTAATTAAAATAGTCCTTTAAACCAGTTTATTCAAAATTACTCTGTTTTCTTCGATGTATTGTTTCTGTTCGACTGTCTTTCAAGTTCGATGAGCTATACATTTTTTTTTTTTTTAACTCGACTACCTCGAAGCAACTATCTCAGAGTATCGACAAGAAAGATCATCCTGACATGGAATGATATCGCGATCGTACTTGTTTTTATCATACGTTTGCACAGACGTATCGGTCAAAGAAATCCATAAATCGATTGGTCAGAGTACACACAGGCATCCATATGTGCAAGGTGGCACGGACGTTTCTGAAGACGGTGACTGTTATGAATAGTCAGGAGCAGTTCGAGCACCGTTGAATAGAATGAATAAATACCTATCCGCATAAATATACATAGCCGCGTTGCGTACACCGTCTGAGCCATCACTATTAATAAAATAAAGGTGTCGGCGACAGTGGCAATTGTAGATGTCACTTCACCTGCCAATCGGCATCGGGTGTTCGACTATCCAATTGGGTTCAGGACGCCACGCTGCTACTGATTATTATTGCGTTACGAGGATTCGTTTATGGGGTTTGATTTATGTAAAGCGCGGTACGAATTTCGTTGGAAGCATTACGGGGATTGTTCACTTGAAATCGATAGCCGTTTAGGAGTCGCTTGGATGCTTTGCATAAGTATAGTAATTAGAGTCCTTGGCTGACCACTCCGTTTAGTATCGACGCGCATTTGTTGAGCGATGAATATGTCGATAGTATGCTTAGTGCATTTTCCTTAGCTACATGAACATGGCACTCGACTATCAAAAAATTAACATTTTTTTACGGAAAATTATAGTATTTCGTTTGTAGCTGATTGTAGTAACAGTAGTTTCGTCTGTACTTTCAACAATTAATAAATAACAAATGTTGAAAAAATGACCAGCACTCGACATCGAGTTATATGAAATCCGTTTTTTCCATGTGATTCAGCATCGTTTGTAGTTGATTGTAGTGACTTCCGTTTCGTTTGTATCAGGTTGTCCCAAAAGTTTCTTCCCTTTCATTAATTAGTGATGCATGCACAATGTTTTATGTCTAATGTTACGTTATTGAATTGCGTACGATTCATTTTCCACCACTGCTGTTACATTAACATCTAAGAAATCAGTTGTCTATTTATATAAACATTACCACACAAAATAACTGAGTGCAAGTCACGGAAGAAACTTTTGGGACGATCTAATAGTTAATAATTTAAATAGTTCTAATAGTTAATAATTTAAATAGAATAATTTAAAAGTTACAAGCAATCGTTTATACGCCTACGAGATAACGTCGTCAGTTTTCAAGATTTTTAAAATCCGTTTCTTTTTCCCATACGATTCAGAATGGTTTATTATTTAAAGATGCTAATATATAACATATTTACTCACATTACCACAGTTATGAACATTAAATTAAACTATATTATGTACTTTCATGAAAAGTGTATGGTTAGCAAACTATTAAGCCGTTTCTAACAAACATCAAAGAAATACTCACGATGTATTTGTATAAGGGAATACTATTCCGAAATGACAATTGATTTTCTTTGAGAATCTTCCGTGCGAAGTGTGTCTTACAAAATCATTCAATGTTTCTTACGTATATACACGTCGAACACAACCTGCGGCTCGTAGCGTAAGAAAGTATCGTAGGATCTAACTCGGGCCTTCGCAAGGAAATATCAGCGAGCGAGCATCGATTTGTTTCGCTTCTGTACACGTCCATTGTTCCGTTGATTCGCTGCATGATGTTTCGTCATAGTCGTTGCAACGCGTGCTGCTTGTAACGGTACAGTCTAAAGAGTGTACGGTTTAAAGATCGTTAGCGTTTCATCCATCTTACATAACTCCAGCAATAAGGTGGTTTAATTAAAATCGTTAACCACACGCACGCGTTAAGTGGGACTTCTTAACGATCGATGTTTGAATCTGAAATTCGAAGAGGATACGGTAAATTCCTTTTAAGGTTGATCTCGCTTTGTACGTGCGATAAATAATGTAAGATAAACGGGTTCGTATCCACTCTGTAAACAAAAAAAGTCTGATATATTAAGCGTAGAAATTCTGTGCCTTTGTATTCAATCATTTACAACTCTGGCTACATTAAAGAATTTCATGACCGCTAAAGTTCGTGTAGATGCATTGTAATGGCCACCAGGTTGAAACTTAGTACGTGTACGGATACATTGCGATTAAAATCAAGATTCTGTCGGTACTTTGAAGTACCCAGAATGATTTTACGAATTACTAATATATAATATATTTATAAATACACGAATAATTTATAATTGATATACATAAATATGTGCATCTGTCTAAATTAAAGTTATAAATGATTAATTTTAGAAGCATGGTATTTATTTCAACACCTACTAATTGTCAAGTAGGTGTACTTGCAACCTTTTAGAAGAACAACGATAAACAAAATTTGTTAATTGAAGTCCGTATACAGTCAGCCCCATAAGTATTCGTACCTTTTATATTCATCGAAGAAATTTGTCTAAATTATTGTAAGCGATAAATTCGATGTTTCAGTCGAGCGATGCATTATAAATATGAAGAATCGTAACCTCTACACGCAGCGAATAATATATATATTCGTAACGAAACATGATTCACGCGAACTCTCTCGTAGCTGAAGGAGTCTAGGTCTATAATACCTAATACCAGAATTTTAGTAGTCGCGGAGTTCGCTTCTTTTTTTTTTTTCTTTTTTTTTATTAATATCCAAGAGTATGAAACACGAGCAAGTCCATGTTGAGCAATATGTACACGTGCTTTAGTATCGATATTAGCGTTTCTTTGGTAAACCGACGAGAGAATACGCAAACGGGACGACGTCCTTGAATTCATTCGCATTTTGTTTAAACTTCTGTGTAACGTGTTTCACTCGCCAAGCGAAGAGCTAACGAGACGTCACATAGATACATATTATTATTACAAACGTCACGTTCCTTTAATGCAATACAGTTGCCAAAGACAATTATCTACCAAGGTTGTGGATCGAGCACTGCACGAACTCGTTAACAGAGACAATTTAATTTTCTTACTAAACGTCGCTAGAGCCGATCGGCAAGGATGGAGACCTGTATTCGAAAATGGACAAAATTAAATTATTCTCGACGTTTATTCTGTAATTCAAATTCTTATTTTTTATTTAATGAACAGTAGACGGACAGTTTATATTCTGTTTTTAACTCGAACACGTTTATAAATAACAATTTTGTCCATGGAATGCCTAATTGCAATCACGGTGGCTGTTTCTCCTATTCTCTTGCGCATTTCATTCGATTTCCATCTTCACATTTAACCTTTAAACGTTGTCGCGGCCTTCAGGAGAAAGTACTGTGTACAAACTGTCGTGTGATTCTTCTGCTGTATACAAATCTCTACTGAATCTCGCCTCGTTGCATGTTTGCACGTAAATGTAACAAAAACATTATTATTATTATTATTGTAGATACTAATAGTGGATTACTCATCCAGTCTATAGTTAATAATCCATTAATAATAATCAGTTTAAAGCATTTGATACTTACCTTCTTCGTTTCTTTTCATAAATTCTATCAACGATAATATTAATTGGTAAATGGTAGCACAAGATCGAAGATATTTTTTAAATAATCACAAAAGCTTCACACATCGAAGACAACGTTACAATGCCCTAAACATCGATATATTTATAGCCGAGCCGAACATCAATGCTTGTCTGCGAATCTTTTCCTTTCTAAACGACCGTGTTCTATCCATTTAAAAATATACTCTCCTAATTGTACGTTATTTGTATCAACACCGTACTGTCAAAATTGTAAAGCGAAATGGATCCTATAGGGTCTTAAGAGCTTTAAATAAAATAAAAAAAAAAAAAAAACGTCACAATGTTTTCGAAGCAGTGATTTATCAAGTGGAATAAAATACTGTCAACCAAACCATGAGTTTCTTTCGTCGAAGAATCCTATGATAATCATTTCGCCAACAAATTAATAATT